AAATACGGCCAGGCGTGTTGGCACAGGCCTTTAATCCTAGCACCTGGGAGGCAGAGGGGAGACAGATCTCTGTGAGTTCAAGGCTAGTCTGGTCTACATAGTGAGTTCCAGGCCAGCCAGGGCTACACAGTAAGACTCTGCCCTTAAAAAAAAAAAAAAGTTAGAAATATGATGCTACAGGGAAATTTCATTTTTTAAAAAATTATTTACTATTTTTATTTTATGTATGAGTGAATTGCCTGCATGTATGTAACTGCATATATGCAATGCTCACAGAGGTCAGAAGAGGGTGTCAAATTCCCTGGAATTGGAATTAGAGATGGATGTCAGCTACCACGTGGGTGCTGGAATTTGAACCCAGGTCCTCTGCAAGAGCAGCCAGTGCTCTTAACCACTGAGCCATCTCTCCAGCCCCTCATTTTTAATTATACATTTTTAGTTTCACTTTTTAAGCAAAGCTTGTCATGTTTATGGCTCCTACATATCACAGTAGACATTTAAAATATTATCTAGTTAAGGTTTATTATTTATAACACATCAATGGTTATTAATTTTAATTAAAATGTCAGCTGGACAAGAAGAATTTCTTCAGGAGACCTAGTATACCTCCTGGTAATTAAGCTACTAACAATGTATTATATACTTCAGTGTTGCCAACAGAGTAGATTTCAAGTTCTCTCACCATAAAAATACATATATGTGTTTGTGTTTGGTAATATAGGTGTTAAATACTTTATTTAACCATCGCACATGTATCAAAACAACATGCTGTGTACCATAAATATGTATAATTAATTCATCAATTAAAAAATACATAAATAAAAATGAAAATGCTTAGTTATTCAGCAAAAGAACAGGCCCTCTACCCACTCCTGGTTAACCAGCAGCTGGCCCTGAGAAGGCTGTGGTCCTGCTGTGCTGGGCCATTAACAGTGTAATATCCCCTGTAGAGAGGGCCTGGCAGAGTCAGGCATCCTGCTGGGTGCTGGGTCCCAGCCAGGAAGGCCCACTGTGCTTGACAGAGACTGTCACCAGCAGCCATGGATTCCCACATGAATGCAGAAACCACCACTTCATCCAGAGCTCTTAATGGCCTGGGAATTTCTGTGTGAAGACATCTGTTTTCTGAGTTCCCTTTCAAAGCTATGAAAATGCTGGTTTTATTTGAGAAATGGAAAAAGGGAAAGTCATTGACAAGCTCTGTGTCCCTATTTTATTAGCATACATTTAAACTTTTTTTTTGGTCTTTTTGAGAAAGAGTGCCCCAGCTGGCCTGGAACTCACTATGGAGACCACGCTGGCCTCTATCACACAGGGATTCACCTGCCTTTGCCTCCCGAGTGCTGGGATTAAAAGTGTGCACCACCATGCCCGGCTAGCATATATTAATTATACAAAATAGTGGGTTTCGTTATGACATGCTCAGCCTTGTATGTGATGAACTCTGCTTTGAGAGCCTGGTAGTGTTTCTGTATCTGCTGGGTTTGCTCCTGTAGTATTTACTCCATTCAGGGTGACTGTTTTTCTTTTCAAGTAAATGACTGTGTTAAGCAATGCCAACTTAATATGCAGCCTGGCCTGGGACTCTCCCAAGAACAACAGCCCCACTTCATTCATCTGCTTCCTGGATACCACTTGGATGCTGGCCACCTCCAGTTCAGCACGTGATGGTTTCCCCAACCCTGAGCCTCTTCCAACGTTTTTGTCTTTTCCTTCCAGGCAAGGAAGAAGCATGTCTGAGATGTCACAAAACCTGCTCCCACTGCCCAAAGGGAGCTGGTTCTTAGCACGTGTGTGCTGTAGGCACAGGTGATCTGTGGTCATCGAAGCACATGTTCCTTCGAGCACTGTCTTGTAATACACAGATGTCAGTCACAGTGTGCAAGTCATTCATCCTATTTTTCAGTAAACATTTCACTTAAAGAGGTTATAGATCACTCGCTTCCTCATTCCTTTCTGCCTCCCTAATAGTGTGATTCCGGAACATGCCCTGGGGCCTCAGCTGTGCCACTCTCTCCAGTAATCATCCGCATAATGTGTGACTGAAGAACAGATACTCAAAGGCTATGCTTTTCTCAGAGTGACAGTAATGAATTCTCCAAGTAAAGAGCCTTTCCAATAGAAGCTTGGGAGATATGAGAATAAATGTACCATGTGGTCCAGATTGAGTGATTAGATAAAGGACATCAATAGAGTTTGGGATGAGGTCTGAAGGCTACATAATGTATATCAGTGCTAATTTCCTGATTTGCTAGTACATAGCAGTTATACAAAAGAAAAATCACATTGAAGTGTCTAGATGCAAAGAAGTAATGTATCTGCAACTTCTTTTTGAATTATCAAGAAAATATAGGCTGCTGGTGTGCATATTTGTACGTACATGCTCCAGAGAAGGGGAAATGATGAAGCAAGATCCAACACTGTTAACATTTAATCAGTCTTAAAAGAAAGATATAAGAGGAAGTCTCTGTACCCGGCCCGCATCTTTGTGAGTCTTCAGTTATTTAGAAATAAGAAGTTAAAAACCTTGCTTGATGTGATAGCCCATGCCTTTAATCCCAATGCTCATGAGGCAGAGATAGGCAGATCTCTGTGAGTTTGAGGCCAGCTTGGTCTGCATAGGGAGTTCTAGGTCAGCCAGAGTTACATAGTGAGACTGTGTCTTTAAAAAAAAAAAAAAAAAAAAAAAAAAAAAAAAAAAAAAAAAAAGGATCTTAGTGTGTAGGACAGCTAGCTAGGAACTCCTGACAGGAAAGAGTTCTCTGAACATGGATACTTCTCGGTCTTAAGCACACTGTTTTAAACTCATCCCATTTCCCAAGACCCCAAGTTCGCCTCTTCTCTTAAGGCAGATTCCTTCAAGCTCACTTTCCTGTGCTGAATAGTAATAGGTCATTCTTTCCTGAGCACCCTCCCTGAAGAGACATCAGATGTCTGTCTTCTCCCTGGCTTCCATCCCAGTACCTGTATAGAAGCCTACCTTCCTCTTTGATGTCTCCCTGGAATCAGCCGTCTCCTTTCCTGGAGGAGCCAAAGACTGGATTTGTACAATGCAGCATGGATCAGTCAGGATGTTGGTACTGGGTAGCCATAGCAACATACTGCCCCCAAGCTCAGCATCTATTCACCCACTGACCATTGAAACTTACAAGTTGATGTCTCATCTGGGCACAGTATCCACTATGGTGTCTAAGGCATCTCTGCTCACTGCAGCTGCTCAGGAGACTTGGCAGTGCAGGCTCCATCTTGCCCAATACTTCTATATCCTCATGATGGAAGGAAGGCAATGTGATGTCCCACTCACCGCCTCTGTAATCCTTCCTCCCTCCAAGCACAAAAGTTATTTGCATTCATTTCATTCACCATGAAGCACAAACCTTGGGTTGGTGGGGAAGAGAGGCTGAAATATATTGTAATATCTATCCCTGGTGAGTGCCACACCTCCATCCTCAGCAGGGAAGCTGGATTTCTCTGTTCATTTTAGAAGAGCACACTAAGATACACACCACACAGGAAGAAAAGGGCAGAGTTAGCAAGACAACAAAGTCACCTCCTCTTACCACCCCCCACACAGGCCCTGCCCTGGTGTTACTGGAATTTTGGGGTCCCTTTATTGTTGTCAGATGATACAGGGGAAATTGAGGCATTCCTTCAATTTCGGATGAAGAATTTAAGGATGGACACAAATGGAAGCTCAAAGACAATTTTATTAGCATTTAAAAGAAAAGCCCTGAGTAGGCAAGCCATAAATCTCCGCAGCTGCTCAGAGGAGAAAGGAGGAGAGAAGAAAAAAGTCATGTTGTTTAAGGCATGAAGGTCAGATACTTGGTGAACTAGCAGCAACATGACCTGATGTGAGCTTTAGAGGAAGTAAAGAAATTCCAAAGGTTGGGGCCATCCAAAGTGTTAGGAAAAGGGATAGAAAGAAAAGGAGGGGGTGCGGCTTTCCAAGGGCACTGTGTATACTTGAGCTCAGAGTGGAACGGCCAGTGTTGCATGATGTAATTCAGTGAGATGCAGAAAGATGGGAGAGGGCAGGAGTGGCCTGGGCCTATGGCTGTCAGCAGGTTCACCTGTATGCCGCCACCTGCAGCCGAGGAAGGGTTTGCAGTTTCTCAAGGGACAACGCATAGAAATATGGGTGCAGGCCAACAGTATCATTTTCATTTTGGAAGATTTAAAAACATTCCTGGCCTTGTTGGCTTTTTATTTACATGAGATAATGTATGTAGAGCCCTTGTCCCATGATAAACAGCCAATAAATGTTAACTGCTTCAGTAGAAATAATTACAGAGCTCATGACTTTAATGATTAGTTCAATAATAGAGCAGCAACTATCAACATCATGGTAAAAATAAGCATTCAGTGTACAGAAGTGGGTGCAAAGGAAGTGGCTCCTGGGGGGAAGAATTTTTATCATGTTGATACACAGTTGGCCAATCTCTTTTGCGTTTTGCAGTGAATGTAAAACTGTTCTACAAAGTAAAGTCTACTTCAATTTTTTAAAATACAGGAGAAAGAAAAAGAGCAGGCTGGCAGTTGGGGGACTGTTTTTCATTCTCAAAGATGAGTACAGGTCTGGCTGCAGCCGGGGTGGACACACTACCGCCTCTCAACCCCGCTGTGCCACTGGTATTAATGGTAATACGATTCCGGGGGGTTACATAGCTGGGTGCACAGATGTTTGATGAACAGCATGTAGATGAGGATGTGGAGGAAGCTGGCTGGCTGGCTGGCTGGCAGGAGTGCCTTTTTCACCACTGGGTGCTGAAGTGTGAGAAGTTAGCCCTGCTGGACTGGAGCTGCGGGGTCTGGTGCTGCCCTATAGCTTGCTTCCCGGGCTGAGCACCTCCGCTCAGCGTGACAGCATCGGAGGCCTGGGCTGTGCACAGCCCTGCTGCACCTGTTAGAGGCCCCAACCCAAGAATCAGGGCAAGCCTTACCTGCAAATCTGCAAGCCTTTCCTTTACCTAATGAAACATTTTCTTTCCCTTGAGTAGGAAAATGCCCAGGTCATCAGAGAAGTGGAGGTGGACAAGGTCTCTTCACTCTCCAGGGACCAGGTAGCAGCCATCAAGCAGCTGTGGCAGGATCCTGGGATCCAGGAGTGCTACGACAGGAGGCGGGAGTACCAGCTGTCAGACTCAGCTAAGTAGTGAGTACCAAGCCCATCACAGCTGCTGCTGAGCTGTTAGGTCAACTCTGCTAAAACTCTGACTGCTTGAGGAAGAGGAGGTGATCAGCGGCTACACCCTCCTCTGCGTTTCCGGTCTCTCTTGACTTCCTGGCACTGTTTCTTAGGATCTTCTCTCCTAACTCCCTGTGCGTCCCCAGATTTCCACTGGCCGGCACCTACCTCTTCTCTCTTAATTAAATCGGAGATTCCCTTAGTGGAACCAATCTTATTTTTGGTGCTGAAATTATGATTTAAGCAAGGAACACAACTACCTGTGGTTCCCACTTTCCTCCCCACTTCCTCTGGCTTTCTAGCTTAGCAGTGCAGACCGACGGTCAGCTGGTGATCTTGTGCTGCCCTCTAGTGACGAAGATCTGTATCCGCAAGACCCGCACACAGGAAGCTCAGAGCCCTCTTTATTTTGACCCTTTGCAAAGCCGACCTCTGCTGCATTTTGGATTTACGAAACTCTAGTTTTACAGCATCAATTCTAATTCCTATTCCACATTCCTACATGATGATTATTTGTGCGTCACAGTTCGACCTTCTCTCCCTCGCCCTTGTCATTGTCCTGTGAGGACCCTGACATTCTTCCCCCAGCTCACCCCGTTCTTCTAACTGTTGCCCTCCCTCTGAGCCGGCTTGGTTGGGGGTTTACCCCTGACCTCTGGACAAGGCAGCAGGGCACAAAGGAAACGTCACCTCCTGCGGCTTCAATGACTTCCCCTAGGTGTTCGTCCCAGAATGTGTTCGATTTAATCAATGTTGGCACAATTGATTTAAGTGTATCAGCAGAGCAAAGAAAGGACGCCAGTGAGATGCTAGATCGGCAATGCAGAGGGGAGGAAGAAAGCATCCAGCCCGGGCAGGCAGGTTGTCTAGGACAGCTTATTGGAGTCCCCGGCTGCCCAAGACAGGGGAGCCCTCCAGCTCCTTCGAAGAAACTACCTGGTGTTACTGGCCCTGTGAAAGTTCTGCGGGTTGGTGGGGTCTCTTGCTTTACACCCATCTGGGGAAAGCCTACCAGAACTGCTGAAGAATTCAGGGTAATCCTGAAAACTGAGTCAAGAGTGTAGCTGGGGAGGTAGACTTACTGCAGAAAACAGTGGCATCTGATGAGCCCAGACAGTTGCCAGATCTTGAGACTGTGGATGTGGCACATCTGTAATCGCAGCGCTGAGGAGGGGGAAGCAGGAAGATCCTGAGGTCAAAGACATTCTTGACTACATAGTGAGTTAGTGAGTTTGAGACCAGATTGGCCTACATGAGACCCTGTCTTTAAAAAAAAAAAAGTCTATACAACACATGCCATTCCAGTTGTTCTCAATCATGTTAGTAATGTCTGCTTATTTGAATGCAACAGACAGTGTGGTAAGGACTGTTGTGGCAGCCAACCAATGCCCTCTAATCTCAGGAACTATAGAGTCTGCTGGTGCTACTCAAACAATCACACACTGCTCCATTATCTGCAAGAGACATTTTCTAGTGTCCCCAGTAGATGCCCCAAACACAAATGATAAACTGTGTGTCCTATGTTTTTTTCTGTATGTACACAGACATGATAAAAATTAATGTATAAATTAGGTACAGTTAGAGATTTACAGTATCTAAAAATAGAATAATTACCTGGGGGTCATTGTTGAGTAAAATAAGAGCTATTTGGGTGCTAGCAATGTGATCCTGTGACAATGGGTCTGATAATGAGGCAACTACTCAGTGACTGGCAGGTGGGCAGTGTACACAGCACAGAGACACTAGAAAAAAAGGGCGTTCCCCACTAGGGCAGGGACAGCATCAGATTTCATCCTGTCACTCAGAATGGAACTGGATTTAAAACACATACATTATAAAAAGAATATGAATTGTGCTAGGCGTGGTGGCACACGCCTTTAATCCCAGCACTTGGGAGGCAGAGGCAGGTGGATCTCTGTGAGTTCAAGGCCAGCCTGGTCTACATAGTGAGTTCCAGGACAGCTGGGGCTACAGGGAGACCCCGTCTCAAAAAGACCAAAAAAATGGATATGAATTGTTTATTTCTATTTTCCATTTATTACTTTTGAACCACAAGTGACCATGGGTATGTGATTTCACAGAGAAGAAAATTAAGTTTCAGGTAGTTCATCAGCTGGGAATCAAACTTGAGCTTCCTGGTTGTCCACTGAGAACACTATGGCTGAACCAGCGTACTTTCCTACCCTCATGAGG